ACCCCCCGGCCCCAAACCAAAGATTTCTGATTATAGACATAGATGATACAGATTAGGCCCTGTTATTATGCTCTTGCTGTAGCCTGCTGGTGAACAGTGATAAATATAAGTGAACTAACGGCAGCAGCAACATCTTATTTCCGAGCCGATCGATGGCCACACAAATGTAAAATCACTATAAACAGTGTCCCGGGAGCTAAACGGTGGAGAAGACGGATGACTTTCATTTCTAAAATTGATAATCAAGGCTTCCCTCATGAGTCACAGGGGACTCGCAGCTGTTCCGCTCACAGTGCGGCACTGAGCTGTACCGTACATCACCGTCGGCGCTTTTAATGGTGCTGTTGTATTTTGTCGCATCAATCACAGCACAGAGCTGAAAACCAAGCCAAGTGTTGAAAAAAAGAAATATGTGAGGAGTAAAATAGCGAATACATATTTGTTATCTAAATATTCCTGTTGGGCCATTATTTACTTTTCAATTGCTTTGTGAATTTTTTGATATTGTACTTGTGTCTTTCTTTAATTGTGTCGTTTACTCTCCACAGAGGGAAAGGATCCTTAACATTGAAAGAATCTGCAATCTACTCCGCAGAGTGAGTAACTGCTGTTCTACACCTGTTGACGCCGCCGGCCACTGACTACAACACAGCTGCCTCTGACAACCGTGAACATTTGTCTCTCTGGCCATTGTCCACACCATCACCGCCATCATTATCATCACTGCTGCCACAAAGTCATGGAGGAACAGAAAGCCATGAACGACGATACAGTGCAATGTGTTTGCCGGGGTTTTTTTTTTTTTACATGGCAGATCATTCAGGGAAAAAAGAACTCAAGGTCCCTAACAGTAGCTGTGCTCGGAGGTTACTTTAAACACACTATTTTATTCTTTAGTTATTATAATGGAATGATGGTGTTCAGTCTGCCTGAGCAGTTTTCTGAGTTGACATAAAAAGAAGCAGCAACCTGCAGACCAGTTGTTGAATTATCGTTTTCAAAATCAAACATTTTTTTAGACTTCTGTTAGCATTGCTGTTTCAATTAGATTATTATATTTAAAGTAAAAAAAAAGTAAATATTGGAGTGGATTCTCTTGGAATGAAGTAAATTAGTGAAAGAAAAGTACATTTTTGGGGGCCCAATACCAAAATATCTATGCACTGCTACTGGTCTGCGGTCCCGAGAGACGGAAGTTTTTTCAACCCTCCCCTACCCGCCCCTGTCCGAATTGAAATACTAATGAGCGTTTGGTATTTATTTATTTATTTATTTATCTGTCTGTACGAACCACAGTATGGGTATGACATTAATGAAATAAGCTGCAGTGCTGCCATCTAGTGACTTTCACTTTAATATACAGCTGTTTATCCCCAAAACTATCTTCAGGGCACACAGCATTTTGGTCTTCATTATCGGAGGAAAAAACCGATCGCGATTCCATCTCACATAATTACGCCAACGTTGGGCTGATAATATCGGCTGACCGATATTACCGGCACAATATTAGCATAATCACACGTCCCTATTAAAAACGCAAGACTGGGATGAACATCTGCAAAAACATTACGTTGCAGGGCCAATTTAGGACTTGAAAATGTGGTATAAAGTAGTCTCTGAAGTCCTCACATCTTTTTACACCAACCATTTCATTATAGTACCAGCCAGAAAAAAACAGACATCTAATTGCATCAGTCAAGCACGTTAACAGGCAATCAGACAAACAAGCTCGTCTAAGGCACTTCACAG